TGAGGAAGATCATTCATGAAGAAAGCCAAGTAGTTCTGAGGAAGATCATTCATGAGGAAAGCCAAGTAGTTTTGAGGAAGATCATTCATGAAGGAAACCAAGTAGTTTTGAGGAAGATCATTCATGAAGGAAACCAAGTAGTTTTGAGGAAGATCATTCATGAAGGAAACCAAGTAGTTCTGAGGAAGACCATTCATGATGAAAGCCAAGTAGTTCTGTTCAAGATCATTCATGAAGAAAGCCTAGCAGACCTGATGAAGATAATTCATGAGAAAAGCCAAGTAGTTCTGTTGAAGATCATTCATGAAGAAAGCCAAGTAATTCTGAGGAAGATCATTCATGAAGAAAGCCAAGTAATTCTGAGGAAGATCATTCATGAAGAAAGCCAAGTAATTCTGAGAAAGATCATTCATGAAGAAAGCCAAGTAATTCTGAGGAAGATCATTTATGAAAGAAGCCAAGTAGTTCTGTTGAAGATCATTCATGAAGAAACCCAAGTAGTTCTGTTGAAGATCATTCATGAAGAAACCCAAGTAGTTCTGTTGAAGATCATTCATGAAGGAAGCCAAGTAGTTCTGTTGAAGATCATTCATGAAGTAACCCAAGTAATTCTGTTGAAGATTATTCATGAAGAAAGCCAAGTAGTTCTGAGGAAGATCATTCATGAAGACAACCAAGTAGCTGTAATGAAGATCATCATGAAGAAAGCCAAGAAGCTCTGATGGAAATCATCATGATTAAAGCCAAGCAGACCTGATGATCACCATGAAGAAAGCCAAGAAGCTCTGATGAAAATCATCGTGAAGAAAGCCAAGCAGCTCTGATGAATATCACCATGAAGAAAGCCAAGAAGCTCTGATGAAAATCATCGTGAAGAAAGCCAAGCAGCTCTGATGAATATCACCATGAAGAAAGCCAACTATGTATGATGAATGTTGTCATGAAGAAAACTAAGCAGCTCTGAAGAAGATCATTATCAATAAAATTCATAACAATTTTAATTTCTCATAAGTGTACGAGCTAATTCTAACTGAAAATAACAACATCAACAAACAATGTAAACAATTACTATATATTCATTCACTGTCCTATCATCAATAAAGAAAAGTAAAACTCTGGTTTCTTATGTTAACAAACAATGTAAACAATTACTATACATTCATTCACTGCCCTATCATCAATAAAGAAAAGTAAAACTCTGGTTTCTTGTGTTAACAAACAAAGCAAACAAATACTATATATTCACTCTCTATAAAAAAAAAGTAAATATTTGGTTTGTTATTTATTTTCTTACATATCAACCACACCTCTTCTTGACATATTGCTTTTGGAACATTGAATATGAAATAAAAATTGCAGTTTGTACCCTCTTTTCAAGGGAAAATTTACTCCTTAGAATAAAACATTTATAGTGAAACCCATGAAAATACAAAATTCATTCTGACAATTTGTAAATTCTTCCTCAAAAGGTGAATAAATGAATTCTGTTAAAGAGAGTCCTAACTGAATGCCCAAATAAAATTTAGTAAAGTTCCACTTACAACACCATGCCCTTTGGCATCAAATGCAGACTTGGGAGGACAAAGCCTTGTCAACAACTTGTAGGTGAGGAGGTTCCTTTCAAAGCTCCTGGGGAAGCAGAATTGTTAAACATACCAGTTTGTAAAATAAAAACAATGAAAGATCAAAGTAATATAATTTGAAATTGGTCCTATGTTGACTTTTAAGTTTGAATAATGGACAGTATAATAAATTTTAAAGCTTAGACTAACAACCTACTTTACAAAAGTCTGCAGACTTACAACGCTAGACATTTATATACCACAATCAAACCTACCAAGAGACATTTATATACCACAATCAAACCTACCAAGATACATTTATATACCACTATCAAACCTACCAAGATACATTTATATACCACTATCAAACCTACCAAGATACATTTATATACCACTATCAAACCTACCAAGATACATTTATATACCACTATCAAACCTACCAAGATACATTTATATACCACTATCAAATCTACCAAGATACATTTATATACCACTATCAAATCTACCAAGATACATTTATATACCACTATCAAACCTACCAATATATGTATGTAGAGTACCATAAGTGAACAGAATTACTTAAACTAATTATACATTATACACAGTTCACCCAACTATCTTTTTCACCAACCAAACAACATATTGCAAACTCACTATAAAACTGGTGAAATAAAATGCATTACCTTCCACGGAGTTTTACTGCATCATCCCACTTCTTCTCCGCCATACATTTTGCTACCCCTTGAGTCTATAGAAGACATTTCATTCATTGAAATAAAGAACGTTTTTATATTTTATGACAGCTATTCAATTTAACAAGCTCACAGTGAAAAATAATCTTCATTTTGTGTTAAGATACAGGATTATCCTTGATTATCAACTTCATTTTGTGTTAAGATACAGGATTATCCTTGATTATCAACTTCATTTTGTGTTAAGATACAGGATTATCCTTGATTATCAACTTAATTTTGTGTTAAGATACAGGATTATCCTTGATTATTTGCTTCATTTTGTGTTAAGATACAGGATTATCCTTGATTATTAACTTCATTTTGTGTTAAGATATAGGATTATCCTTGATTATTTGCTTCATTTTGTGTTAAGATATAGGATTATCCTTGATTATTAACTTCATTTTGTGTTAAGATATAGGATTATCCTTGATTATTAACTTCATTTTGTGTTAAGATATAGGATTATCCTTGATTATTAACTTCATTTTGTGTTAAGATATAGGATTATCCTTGATTATTAACTACTCTGTTCTAAGATTTTTTATAATTTCTTACACTTTTAAAAGATGCTCTTTTTGATGCAAAAATATCTTCATACTTTCTCAGCACAGTCTTGTATTGAACTAACAAGTCTATTTTTTCATTAAAACTTTCTGAACATATGCTTTCAATGAACTAACAACACAAGTCTTTTCTTTCACTAAAACATTCTGAATATACTCTTCCAATGAACTAAAAGACACAAGTCTTTTCTTATGCTAAAACATTCTGAATATACTCTTCCAATGAATTAATAATACAAGTCTATTCTTTTGATAAAACTTACTGGATTTAGTCTTCCATTCACCCTTTCACAACAGGTAGGTCATAGTGCGCATGTCACAACCTTTCACAAAGTTACACTCAAAATTTAATTAAACAACGTTATTATCAATATATATATGAATAAACTAGGCATCAAGACACAGTTAATAAATCAAATTTTAATATTATTTAAGCTTTAACCCCTTGAGTGTGTAATTAGATTTCAGATGGGTCACCAAAAAGTGTCAATTATCCAATAAAAAAAAGGAAATTTACAATTTGACCTTTTTTAGTACTTTTTCAATATCAAAATCCACTTGTTGCCCTTTTGCTTAGTGATGTATGCACGTGCAGTACTAAGGTAGGAATTCAAGGACACATGAGTATCCTGATTGTCACACAATAAGGAAATGTTTTTGTGACTCCATGAGAAAAAACCTGACTGTCATACCAAAAAGCTACAAGTGTCAAGTCGGATAAATCTGATGACATCATCCAAAGGGTTAAGTTCTTAATTTTATAAAGTAATATTTTTAAAAAATCCTGAATTTCCCCTACTGTAAGGAATGTGACATTTTTATCTAGGCATCCCCTCTTTGTAAATTTATTTACCATCCCTCCAAGAAGTATGAAATTTAACATAAATCACTCATTATAATGTTGTCTTCATTCAGGCAAAGCATAACTTTCATAGTCTTCTATCTTGTTTGGTTACAGAGCCATGAAATAGAAAATCAGACTCCTCTTGCCACACCCACCCATAACATCCTCTCTTTCAGGATTTGTCGATAGTTCTCTCTTACATTTAATACTATATTATTTATAACCAATAGAAAGCCAAGGTTTTCATTTGACATATCATATTTTGTTGTTTCCTGTACAGAGAAATAGTAATTTCTCTTTCAATACATGCTTTGTTTTCATATGAAACAAAAAAATTATGAGAGTTATGGGAGATATTCTGCTTTTTGCATATTATTATTCTGTGTCCTTAGGGGGCATTATTTAATTAAATAAAAATTATTTATTTATTATAGCAGTACCATTATTACAAAAAAGTAGGTGTTAAGTGTCATTGACAGTCGACATCAGACCAAGGTGAGTACTTTTTCTTGTTTTTCATGTGTATTCTTTATTTATTATTATAAAAGTAACTAAAATATAAGAATTACTAACTTTTTAGGTTAGATAAAGAATAAAAATAATAATATAATAAAAAATTTTCACAAGGCACACGTGCGAGCAGCTCGTAATTCGTTAAGGTACCATAAGCCACACGTTCCCTAAGTGATTAGCAACTTATAATGGTGTGAATAGTAGTTAGACATGGTTCAAAGGGCAAATAAAACAATAAAATTAAGCATAAATAGATGTATATTGTTACGAGTTTAAAGCTACTTAGGATAAACAAATGTAGTTTCATGTTACAATTTGAAGTCATTCTAGAAAGAAAAGAAGGTTAATTTAGGTTTATTTCTGTTTTTTTTTGGTGGTTACGGGGTTGGTCGAATTAACTGATCCCGTTTTGAGATAGGGTAGAGAAAATAACAGATAAACTATAAAGTTTTACTTAAAAATAAAAAACGTTTGAAATGCATTTAGGAGGTTTTAGAGATTACAGAAAGGAAATTTGAGATTTTGGAGATGAGGAAAAGTATTTATAATTTTAACATGAAAATGACTTTGCATACGGACTATTCAAAACAAATACTCAATACATTCATGGACAAATCTTTATTTTATTAAAAATGCTTCACTAAGAAATATGACTTTTTGTATGTGAAAGACTTGTAATATTAACTGAAAGACTGCCAAATTTTGTGAAGATATACTCACTATATTGAGAGTTATAAGTATTAAACTCATATCAACTTTAAACGAGTACAAAGGTCACGTGAATTGGTCAAATTGACCGATCCCGTGTTGGGAGAGTTAAGCATTCTGCTTTTTGTTTACAAAAGCCTTGTAAAGTTTATTGAAAGCTTGCCAAATTTAATGAAGTTAAAAGAAAATACTTTCCGAGTTATAGCATGTATACCACTATGGTTACATGGTGGTTACAAGGTTGTTGCAATAGGGTTAACCTGTTTGTAAAGAGATTTCTAATTTACTAACCTTCTGAACACACTCCATGAGAGGTACTCTTACTGCTTGGTTTCCATCTAAAGACACCACACATGCTTCTGAGTTGGGTGTTGCTTCAAACAAAGCAAGAACTGCTTCTGCTCCCATTCGACAACCCTAAAATTATAAACAAAGAACTTGGTGTAATAACCCTACAATTATAAACAGTTCATTTATCACTCTACACCTATCAACAGTGATGTAATAACCCTACAATTATAAACAGTTCATTTATCACTCTACACCTATCAACAGTGATGTAATAACCCTACAATTCTAAACAGTTCATTTATCACTCTACACCTATCAACAGTGATGTAATAACTCTACAGTTATAAAAAGTTCATTTATCACTCTACAGCTATCAACAGTGATGTAATAAGCCTACAATTATAAACAGTTCATTTATCACTCTACACCTATCAACAGTGATTTAATAACCCTACAATTATAAACAGTTCATTTATCACTCTACAGCTATCAACAGTGATGTAATAACTCTAGTTATAAACAATTCATTTATCACTCTAAAGCTATCAAGAGTCAGTAAACCTGATATAATAACCCCACAATTATAAACAGTTCACTTGTACCCCTATCAACAGTGATGTAATAACCTTTCAATTATGAATAGTTAATTTATCACTCTACAAATATAAACAGTTAGTTAACCTGATGTAATAACCCTACACAGTTAGTTGACCTATGGATATAAGACATTAGTCAACTTTCTTTTGTTCACTCAACTACATACATGTATCATGTGACCCAAATCCCAGAAAATTTTACTAACCAAGACTCTGTCAAAAGCTGAAGGACTACCTCCCCGCTGTACATGACCCAACACTGTCACTCTTGTGTCCTGTTTCAAATTGTCGACCACCACCTAGATGTTACATATCGAGTTAATATTGAGGTTCTTTTGAAATTCCAAAATGTAAACATGCTTTTTAATTTATATATTTCAGATTGCAAAGTTTAAGAGTAGAGAAAAAATTGTTATAGAAAACATTAGTTAGATATTCATATTTTATGAAAATATGCACACATTTATCACAGTAATATGTTCTAGACATTTTTAAAATGAAATATGTGTGTGTATTTTATATTATACATATTGTACATTAAAAAACTACCCTTCTCTCAAAGTCACCTGCCATTCAAAACTCAACTAAAATGCAACTGAATAAATACAAGTCATGTATTAACTTCAATGAATGAATACTAGGTGTATACCATGTGTTACATTAGATAAATACAAGTAATGTATTAACTTAAAAGAATAAACACTAAGTGGACATCACATATTCCATAACCAAACTTACCAACAATAAACAAATTAAAAGTTTACATGAAGAACCTAAATAACCTTTTTCACTTGCTCAGCAGTGATAGGACTTCCCTTTCGGTCGATAGCTCCTTCAGAAATAATTATGATGTTCAAACGTTGGCCAGCATCACGTTCCTAGTAAAAATATATAAACATCAGTAAATAAAAAATTACCAATACAAGTGATGTAAGTTCTGTTCTAAAAAGAAATAAACATATATTTACTTTTAAGAAAATAAAAACATTTTAAAATAATAAAAAAATACAGCCTGTAAGTTTATAAACAAAAAGAATATATATATATATAGATAGATATACATAAACACACACACACATGTGCATATATATATATAACTAGGTTACAAAGTATCAACTTATCACTGTTTGCTATGGTTCTAATGAAATTGTTTTGATGTTAAATAAAATTTAACTAGGTAAGTATGGTGAGTTTATCGCTAGTTGCTATGGTTTTAGTGACATTGTTTCAATGTTAGATGAAATATAATTAGGTAAATATTGTGAATTTATCACTGGTTGCTATGGTTTTAGTGGCACTGTTTCAAATTTAGATATATTATAACTAGGTATATAATGTGAAGTTATCATATGTTGTTATGGTTCTGGTGACATTATATTTCCAAGATAAATAAAAGACTAGATTACAACGTAAGTACTTATTACAAGTTACTATGGTTCTAGTGACATTATCATTGGTTGTTATGACTCTAAACATCACCTGTTTAAGCTTTTTGCATAGTTTCTCTGGCCAATCAGGCTCTGGAGGCCATTCTGGGATAAAAACAAAATCAGCTTCACTGGCTAGGGCACCAACAAGTGCCAGGTAGCTACACAATAAAACATTTGAAAATGAAACACAGACGTTCTTGTACCTTGAACAACAAAATGTTTATTATCCTCTTGCTTCATTAAAGAAATGACAGTAAAAATAAACTGAACCTTTCATATTATTTTCCCATTATTCAAAAAGATGAAAATGAACATACCACAAATTATGTCAATGTATATCTTTATTAAAATCTAGAATCTTATATGTCGTTTTGTGAAATACTAGAAACTTTGGAGAAAGTAGAGATAACTAATCTTACCCACAATGTCTTCCCATGACTTCCAAGATGAATGTTCTCTGATGACTGTAAAGTAAAATTAGATTTATACTTTTTTTCCCTAAAACAAGACAATGTCTATAGAGAATATTAATATAATTCTCAAGTTTACACAATTTAATACAGCTCTGTGTCTTCTACTTCTACAAACACATCCAGCTGATTACATTATTCAGTGTTAAACAAATAGTTTTATTAAGATATACCCATATCTTGGGATTGTTACTCTATTTTCAAAGAACACTTTTTCAAAATTTGCATTTCTATTAATGGAAAGCTACTTAGTCTATCTGCTGCCATCCCTAATTTTTAAGTATTTATGATTGATTGTCATACTTATTATGCATGCACACCATAAAGTTTGAGGAACACTTGTGTTCTCGTATAGATCTGAACTTGGCTCGCCAGCTCCAAAATCTAGAGCTCTACCACAAGGCAAGCCCAACAATGTCAATAAACGTGTATTGATTAAATAATTGTTTTAGTTGTACCAATATGTTTTATAACATAAGTCTAATTATATGGTTAAAAAATGTAAATGAAACAGGCACACACTCACAAACACTTCAAAAAAATAAAACACTTTTACCTCAATACCACGAATGATAAAATATCAAGGAACTAAAATCACTAGCATAAATTATGTTTTTTTTTCTGTTTTCTATTTCACACTTATATCCATTACAGAGATAAACTACTTTTGGGTAAGTATTTCACTTACTTAGCATAGTTTTACTATGTCTCAAGCTTTATGTACCGATATGAAATAAAAAGACTTGTGCATAAATCTTTAACAAAACAATTGTTTACATAATTATTTATTACAGCAGGCATGTAACTGCGAGCTTAAAACTTTCTTTCTACTTTCTTAGTTCTCATCTCTCTTCATATATGTCTTATCTCTCCATAGCTTTTAAAGAATTGAAGATAAATTAACTGAGATTAATGATGAAAATTGGCCTTTATGAACTACATAGTAACCTTACCTTGTTGAGTCCAAAAATAATGGCATGCTTACACCTTGTGTAAAACAAAGTCTACACAAAATAATAGTTATTTAATTATTGTTTCTCTAACAATGATTTTCAATGACCAGCTTTTCTATAAAACTTTCAATGAATATTACAAAATTGATTTCATAACATACACTAAAAATATAGATACACACACACACACATATATATATATATATATATATATTTGGTTTTAAATCTGAAAACAATCTCACAATTAAATCAACCAGAACACAATGAAATAACTTAGTTCTAAACTTATTCTTACACTATTTTGATGTGATGATGGCATCTAAGATATGATATAAAGCATAGAACTAGTTGCTATACTACCTTGATGCAGTTGTGACAATGGCATCAATGGCCTCTAAGATACGATGTAAAGCAGAGTCTGTCCCAATGGTCATGTCTGTGCCACAGAAATCATTATCGATTGATCCTACCATCCCAACGATGTTTAAACTGCTGCACTCTGAACGTAATTCTGCAGTAATTGCTCCTGAATACCATAAGATCAGAACATTCAATCATCAAAGTAAATTTTCCAGGGGAATTATGTGGAGCAAATTTAAACAATTTAAAAATCTACAAAACAATTGTAATAGCATATAACATAGAAAATAGTTTTACAGTGTACTGTATAAAATATTTTTAATATTTGTTTTAAATAATAAAGAGACATAAATAGGAGAAAGTGCAAATAGATAAACTATGTATTGTTTATGTGATCAGAGTATCAATTTTTCACCAATTTTACTTTGCCTGATTATTTTACAAATTAGACTAAATCTTATGATTTTTTAATCACTATTGTAATAGAGATTACTATCCCCATGCTAAAAAATTTCAGGTATTATACTCACCTTTTTCAACCAATTCATCTAGCAACGAACCCCACTCTTGACGGAAAAGATTAGCCCCAGTCAAACTCCCATCTCCACCAATAACCACAAGGTTACAAATTTTATGCTTCACTAGGTTTTCTGCTGCTTTCAGACGTCCTGCTCGCTCTCGGAACTCTTTACAGCGAGCACTTCCAATCACAGTACCACCCTATAAGTTCACATCATGACAGAAAACATAAATGTACATGAAACCTTCACAGGAAACATTATGATATATGGAACATAAAACAGTTCCTTGACACTTTTTCATTTGCATTATATCTGCCTGTAAAAACAATAATCATATTTAAATACATATTTTTCCTAAGATAATATTTCAAAAATCCACACTGTTAAACAAGCATAAATATTTTCTAACATATTTGATGCAACACACAGGTACAGTGACAAATTTTTAATTGTTTAATATAAAAACAAAGTGGAGAAAAATAGAAAACAAACTCCTCTCAGCAAGTTTATGTCTAGTTATACTAATAATTTATACATCTTGACTTTATTAATACCTTCTACAGCTTTAAAAGTTCTTAAACTAAACACATCTGATTAATTAAGTTATTATCACAGCCTCCAAATTAGACCTACTTTAGAATTACAGTCATTACAGTCCCTTAACTAGTGCCACCTTAACAAATATATCATTATAACAGTCCCTAAACTAGACCCACCTCATGAACTACAGCATTATCACAGCTCCTAAATCAGATCCTACTTATGAATTAGTGTTACTGAAGTTCATAAATTAGACATATTTCATGACATACAAAACTATCACAGTCCCTACACCACACCCACCTTATGAACTACAGCATTATCACAGCCCCTAAATCAGATCCTACTAATGAATTAGTGTTACTGAAGTTCATAAACTAGACATATTTCATGACATACAAAACTATCAAAGTCCCTAAACCACACTCATCTTATGAACTAAAGCATTATCACAGCCCCTAAATCAGATCCTACTTATGAATTAGTGTTACTGAAGTTCATAAACTAGACATATTTCATGACATACAAAACTATCACAGTCCCTAGACCACACCTACCTTATGAATTATTCCTGAAACACTGGTCCAGCTAGCTTCTTGGATATTTTCACCACCATCAACCATACCTTGATAGCCCTCCCTGATGAAGAAAACTTTCGTACCCAGATACAGTCCCATCCTTACCACTGCACGTACAGCTGCGTTCATGCCTATTGAATTCAAAATAATTTAGAAAATGTGATAAAAACCTTGATAAAGGTATTTACAATTACCTTTACTGAAATAGGCCAACTACTATGAAATAATCATTCGAAATGGAGAATGGGCAAAAAAGTTTCCTCAAAAATTACCCTTCCTTTTCAAACAACTTCAAGTACAGTTAACCACACTTTTAAATGTATTAAGCAAAAATGGCAGAATAATTATACATTCAATGTTTCTCCTAGAAGAAAATTTTCAGGCACATTTTGGATGCAATAAATACAAATTTCTAAATAAATTTAATCCAGTTCTACTGAAGATATTGTTACGACAGCAAAAGTCACGTGACGCTGATAACACGTCATGACTTTCTAGAAGGATCATGTCTTTTCTAGGCGCCCTCTATTTTAGTATATAAGCCCGGCAAATAAAGCAGAGATATAATTGCAGATAGACAGATATAGAGACAGATAATTGAGTCAAGCGAGCGATAGTGACCGTAAGTAGAATGTGTGAATTGTAGCAAGTGTTTAAGTTAAAGTGACTAAAAACAGGAGTAATAATGCTTTATTGTGGTGATTAAGAAAACTAAAGTTTAGTAAATCTGAAGTATGAAATAAGTTATTTCTTATGTTGGCAATGCAAGTTACTAAAATTTTGTTAATATATCCTTATTGAAAGCATTTTAGAAATAGAGACATTGCCTTAAAATAACTCAAAGTACAATATTGTTACGTCTCTGCTTGTTTGATAATTTCCGGTAAAAATTATTTCCAAGTTTCTTGATTAAAACTAGTTTATTCTTTCTCGTTACAAACTTTGTAGTACAGTTAATTTCCACCCAATTGAATGTAAACAATTGAGATTAACATACAACCAAGAATAAAGAACAATCCAATTTAATGTAGTCATTCAAATTCACCTCTATATCCACCTATTCTTTAAAAGAATTATAACTGCTGGCAAACTGTACACAAACTTACTCTTCACAAATAGGAGAGAGTATTGAATCCTTTCCTTACTTATCCTTGATATTGTAAACTAGTTATAGCCTTACCTTCATATGTTTTTGATACTACTAACCTACCATGGATATGGTTCTGTAATCTTTAATTTCTAAATTTTTATGGAAATATTTGAATCTTCAACTGGCTTACAACTTTGGCAAAACTTTAAGTTTTCAAACCTTCCATTTCACTGTGATTTCTATCAAGGCAAATTTTTAAATATTGGAAGTTTATTACTAGTTTCCTTTCATTTACTAATTTCATAAACTTAGTCCATCTACAACAAAAACTATATAGCAAGCCAATTAAATGTAAACAATTGAGATTGCTATATAGTTTTTGTAGTAGATGGATCTCAATTGTTTACATTTAATTGGATTGCTGAATAGTGTCAGTTCCATATAGATCTGAATGTTCACATTTAATTGGTTTACTGTATAATTTTTGTTGCATATGCATCTAAAAGTTTACCTATAACTGTATTTTTGTATAGTTTTAGTTGAACATGTATCTGAATGTTTATGTTTAATTGGTTCGCTGTTTAGTTTTTGTTGTGGATGGATTTGAACATTTACATATAAATAGATTGGTCTTTATTTTAGTTGTAGACAGATCTGAAATTTAACATTTAATTCACATTAAAAAATATAAGACAACCATTTTAGACTGGTAAATCATTTCATGGTAACAAGTTCTTAGCATATATAATTTTGCTTTGTTTTAATACAAGAGAAAAATAAAAAAAATATTTTCAAACCCCAAAGGTCAACAACCACTTTAAAACATATTTTACAAAATAAAGTATAGTTCATTCACTGATTTATTTTATTATGTTTCTTCTATATATACATACATATCTATACAAGTGGAAAAAATGCCTATGTTTCCTACCTTGTGAATCACCACCACTTGTCAAAATTGCAATGGCTTTTCCATTCTGTCCTCCTTTCATTGCAGTGGTGCCCTCCATTTGGTCCTGGGGCAAAGTAGCTGGATTAGCACTCTTTAATCTAGTCATAAAGAAGTGGCATAAGATTATTTGCCCATAAGTGGAAACATTAGAATACAACTACCCAAAGTACTTTTGATTGCTAGTGGTGAGTAACAACTTTGCATAAAATCCTACAAATTAATATATTCCAAATTTGGTTATATTTACAAATAAATAAACGTCTAACTAAGCAGCTTATAAATCATCCACGATGTCTTTGAATATATTAAAAACAAAAATAATAACATTTAACAAAACAAATATTTTTATATGAATGTCTGTTTTAACACAGGTAATAATTTACAGCTTCACTGGACTAAAAAGTTTGAACACGTTACTTCATAAATCTAAAATTGATTTTAAATTTCATTACACAGCAGGAACAATTTGACATTCCAATTTCCATTCGACTGCTCTGTTTCAGTATTTGTTACGCCGGGGTCTGCGAATACTCATTTATAATATGCCAGTGATTAGTCCGTTTTGTATTTCCACAAATTTTTCAAGTTGTAACCATTAAAACAATATTTCAGTAATAACACTTTATTTATTACCTGTAGTCTATACTTTCTCACAGGAATTTCACGAAGCAAGTTGCCGCACAATATAATAACATAAATGCCCTATTCGACCTTCGTAAGAAATGTTATAATGTAGAACGCCACCGTGTGGAAGTAAATTAAATTATCTACGGCGGATAAATACTAAATGTTGAAAACCCGTGCTTATGTGTTATCTAAATATAAGGTTTATAATACTTTTTTTTTGCTAGGAAAAATTGAAAATAACGTATTTTTTACCATATTTGTTAAATGAATGGTGCATTTTAATATTTTCAAAGTATCTTGTTAAAAAGAGTGCTCATATAATATATCGAACTATTTTATACGAAAATTACATATTGCAAGTGATGTTATTTGGTGTACCACGTTCTTCCTCTTTGATCGTGTCCAGTTAAGAAAGATGAGGTAGGCTTAATGTTGTGTTACAAAAAATATTATTTTTGTATGGAGTAAAAATAACTATTACCTTTACGTTAACATGACAAAAATTAATATGAAAGAAGGTGGTGCAACTTTCAAACTATTAATTTCGGCGTGAAAATTTGTTTAACAAGTGATTTAAAATTGAGTGGCTAGCCTACTGAGAATTTATGTAGGCCTAGCTAACCCTAATTACCAATGATGGAATGGAGTCTATCTAATTCTAGTTTGTACTACTGTTTCAGGTGTTTGTCAGAAAATACTTCTGTCTTAGGAAACTTTAGTAGTTATTTGGTTTATAAGACTGGGTTTGTTGTACTTTCATTTTGATTTTGCCTGAATCTCGCATTATTGTTAAGTAGGAAACGCTGATTCCGAAAGTCTTAGTAATTCAATTATATATAAACGCCTTGAATGTATGTGGAACAAAACGTGACTTACAAAAATATTAGCATAATAATTAATATAAACAGCGGACGACGAATATTACTATGCATCAAAAAGAGTCGACTTATTAAGAAAATAAGACTCGGTCTTAATCAAAATGAAAATGCAGCGAACCTAGTGATTGAAATTAGAACCCTGCATGATTGAAATAAACCTTTATGTATTATTAACATGGGTTGCGGGTGAAAGGCCATGTCATCGAGTTTGTTGACTCGCATTCACAATTTTATTGAACTACTGTTTCATGAATTTATGTCAATAAGTTTGGTAGCAATAACCTATATACATACATAATATATAATAATTGAAATGTGACTGTATTTTACAAAATACTAGTCTGCTAAAACACAGCCAAGACAAGTCACTTTTTAAAAACTACAGGTTAGTTTGATATTATTGGATATGGTAATGTGAGTGCATGTGCACCATGTCATTGTAACTTCTGTATTGTTAGCCAGGCATGGCTGAAAGGTTAATTTAATAAATATGTATAATATTATGAGATTTAAGCTATTTAGAAACATGTTCTTAAACAATTATCTCTTCTAGTTACAACCTTTGTACTCTGTTGCTGCTTGATGTAGGTTGCTAAACCTTTTAAAATTTTGCATGTGGAGGATATGAAACAAAATAATTTTTTTTAGGTTTATATATACGGTTGAATAACCAAAAATAATAAATTACTATATTAATACCATAGAATTCCATTATAATTTATCAAGATTAGTAACTAAGCTGTATTTCAGTCTAAAAAAACATGAAATTTTGAATAGACTAAACACACAACCTACCTCCTTGAAATCTTGGTTCAAAAGAAAGAGATGGCATCCAAAGACGTTAGAATGGCTGAGAAATCCTCTAGGGAGACAGTCTGAGCTTCCAATTTTATGCATAATCTTAAAAATACATAATGGCAATACTTCAATTACTTGAATAGATTGAATGATCAGAAACCTTAATTTTAGTTAGTTTGTTAGTTTCATGAGCGATGACATTAATTAAGTAGAACAACCTTGTATTAATTGGAAATAGTGAAACATAACTGATTATATTTTGATTAATGGATAGTTGGGATAATTGATGAGAGTAGCAATCAGAAACACTAATTTCGATTAGTTGATTATTTTCGTGACATTAATTGATGTAATCATAATTTGATTAATATTTTACATGACACTAACCAATGTAACAGTTGCCCAGCTCTACAAATCATACTGCCCCTTTGATTCCCAGTATGCATGTGATATGAGCATGGTGGTTCAGGTGTGTTTTCAATTTGAGTAATTTCACTTTGAAAAATAAGTTATGAAATTTCATATAAAAAGTATTTCCAGTATAACAACCACCATTACCACCAGTATCATGTGGTTTGTAGTTATTATTGTAATAACCTTGGCCTACTGCAGTTTCAGTATAATCAAGATGTGCATAAATGATGTTGCATTAAAATCACGTAACGTTGTAGCTTGAAAATATTCCAGCACTGATAACCCTACTGCGGTCGGTCTTCTTGTGGTCACAGGTCAAAGGCTGTATTTAAAAGTAAATATTTTAAAATATCCTAAATATTGATTTTTGTGTGTTGCGTGGTATGTTGAATGCAGCATTGGTTCAAGTTAGATGATTGTGATGTCTAAATATGAAGTATATAGTTTCTTGCGAATCAGATACTCAAATTACTGATATTGACAAGATAGAATATAAGATAAGAACCTCCTATCTTTTCTACTTTCTAAAATATTAATATATTTATTGAATCAAACGAGGTAGCACTGTCCACCTCTTCCATTTTTGAAAATAGTTGCATATGTACACCTACTTTACCCAGCGACGTGTATAACCAATTGAAAGCTTAGAATGTACCCATAGTGGCTATCTCAGTCTCTTGAAGTATTTGGATGACAAACTCAAATTTTTCATGCTAGATTCCAAGTGGTAAGGTAAGACATTAATGAGCTTGAAAAATCACATTTCTTTTGGACCCAAATACAGCTTAGCTTCTAAACTTGACAAATTGTAGTGGTATTGATATAGTAATTTGTGATGTTCTGTTATATATACATAAAACTTAAAAAAAATTATTTTCTTTTACATTCTCCTTGTGCGAAATTTGATAAGGCTTAGTAACTTATAGCAAGCAGCAAATGAGTACAAAGTGTGTAACCAGAAAAAATAATTGTTTTCTATATTTCTTTATTTACTGTACTAAGTTTTAAGAAAACTAAAATTTAAGAACTTATTTGTAAACAGTGATAATATATATACATATGTAATGTATTGTAACTAAAATATGACTGTATTTTACAAAATACTGCTCCATTAGAATACAGTCAAGACAGATCACTTTGTAAAAGCCAATTTTATACTATTGGATATGATAATATGAGTGCACATGTGCCATGTCATTGCAACTTCTGTAATGTTACTCAGGATGGCTGAAAGGAAATAAAAAAATAATTAATATGTATGGGTGTATAATGTTATGAGATTTAAGCTCTTTAGACCAAATATTTGTATTTCATGTTATAATTTGTAGTCATTCTAGAACAAAAAGAGCATAATTTATATCTAATTCCCAATTTTTTATGGTGGTTACAAGGTCTGTCAAATTGACCAAACCTGTACAGAAATACAAGAGTGAAAATGACAGATAAAATATAAAGTTGTTTCTAAAAAAAATTGAAAATCATCTGATGTATAGAAGTATTTTTAATCATTAAATCAAAATTACTTTGCATGTTGGATAGTCAACATTCAAAAAGAAAAAAAATGCATGAGAAAAACATTACTTAAAAAATCTTAAACTTAATACAAAAATCTGATATTTTGCATAGGAAAGCCTCGTGATGTTTACTAATAATCTGCAAAATTTCATTAAGATACACTTCCATTCATCCTTTGTTGTCTGGTGGTAGTCGGGGTGGTCCACACTTGATGAAGGCTGTCCGTGACCTGATTCGTGATGAGTTGGAGTCCTTCATGTGGCTCGGGGTTCAGAGTTGGCTTTTCATCATGAACTTGAATATACTAGGGAGAATTTAGACACTGTTTTCTGCTTCTTCTTTCACTAGAGCTGCCTCTTTTCTGCAGTTAGTTGTGTGAGTTGGTGAAACCTTTGGGTTAACCCCCTTGCTTTTGAGTCTACACTGCCTTGTTTTTAGATAGATTTTGGCAGCATTACTTAGTTCTTCCTCCTTCCTCTGATATTGCTGTGTATGCTGGGATGTTTGCAATGCAATTACAAGAGAGTATTGCTATGCCTTTCTCCCCCCATTTATCAGAACAACCTGCCATGGCTTATCATCTTGCTATAGTATACTTGGACACTCAACAGTTAGATTTGTTGTTCCAGGTTAGAACCTGTTATCCCTCTTACCAGATCTCCATTTTCACAAATTCATTTAACTCTAACTACTGTATTGTGATATCCCTTTTTGTGATTTCCGGGGGGTGCCCCTTTTTCGGTCTTACTAGTTTGCTGGAGTTCCTGAAAGTTTTGAAACCGAAATGATACATTATGCTTGCAGTTTGCTTTATCGTCATTGGCTGCTCACCTCTCTTCTACTTCAACGGATAATTCTGGAGGATTGATCATTTGCATCTCGCAGCCCCCACCTTCGACACTTCATCATATTGATTTGCAGAATCGGTTCCGTCCATATTCTCTGGGATCTTCGGAAGGTCAGGATGGCATTGGTGACTACCCATTCAGAAGGTCAATCCCATTCATCTAGGATTCTATTCTTGTCTTTTTCTGGTGACCAAGAACACTAGAGATTGCCATCTTATCATCAGTCTGTCTCAACTCAATCTCTTCCTACAGCCTTCTCATTTCACCATGGAATCTTTTCTTCAACTTCAATGGCACTTCACACCAGATCTTTGGATGACAAAGTCTGATGTTATAGATGCCTAACTTCACATCCCTATAGAAAGAGTCTTCTTGTCAATTTCTACATTTTTTTGCACAAGACCAGATGTAGCAGTTCCAAGCTCTCCCATTTAGACTCTTCAACACCACATGTTTTCTGCCAAGTAGTACGGGTCTTTGAGCAGCATCTTTATTTTCTGGGTCTATGCACACATCACTATTTGGAAGATTAACTTCTTTTGCCACCAACTTTTCATGTTGCCACACTACATCCCCACAGATTCTCGTTTCCAAAGCCAGAAGGGCAGACTTCATATCAGATAGGAAGTATACATTCTCTCACCAACTCCATACATGGTCCATCTTGGGGGTGTTTTTCAATGCACTATGAGTCGAGCTCAACCTTCTCCCCTCAGACTTCATGCTAGGGAAGGGATTGTCAGGCATTTGCTTATGTCACATTTTCCCATAGCATGGATGGTTGTGTTTGTTTTGGGGATTTGGGCTTCCCAAGAATCTCTCGTAACATTGGATCAGGCCCATATGAGATCCATCCAGTTGTCATTTTGTGGACAGTGGCTCATGCATACTGATCCTTTGGATCACACAGTCTCTTTGCTCCAACAATTTGCAGATCTCAAGTGGTGGCTGGACAGGAACAACATGA